AGTTGGTAAGGCACGCAAGTGGCATTCAGGAGGTCTTGGGTTCAATCCCCATTGGCCTCATGTACCTTCCTGGGCAAGCTTGGCGCCCGCCACCTAGAGATATGCCGTTGGTCCCCCCAAGTGGCATTGAGCAGAGACTGCTGATGCTCATAGGGGGAGGGGACCGGAGGGGAGGCACAGTGACTGGCCCATCGAAGAAGCTCGGCCTGATGCTACCGGCTGACCCCTGGCCGGTATCGCCCACCTGCTGTAGCAGGTATCGCACCTGCTGGTGGGTGCAGCTCCCGCATGTTCCCTTGTTGGAGGCTTGAGCACGGATGTGGCTTCTACGGGGTTCCCCGTAATACTATAATGACAATAAAAAAGGCCTGAAAGGCCATCCTGTCCAGATTCGACAGGTAATTGAATTGGTTGGGCTTAAAGAATTAGCCTTCAAAAAAAAAAAAAAAAAAAACGTGGAACAGAAAGAGAATGGAGGAGGAAAGAAAAGAAGAAGAAATACACGAGATTGAACGAAAGCCATCTCCTCCCCGGCTCATCATCAGCCTACACTTGTCTTTTTTAAAATTTGGACCATTTCTCGATTTATGCGTGGCCATGCTAATCTTCTCTGTATCGTTCCATCATCTTCTACACTTACAAACAATTAATTACGAAAAATGAGTGAATGAATGAACAAGAGGAAGGAAGACGGCATACACGACATTGAACAAATGCCATCACCTCCCTCTCTCGTCATCAGCATCTTCATCATCTTCTACTTTTACAAACAATTAATTACAAAAGAAATGAGTGAATGAATGAACAAGAGGAAGGAAGACGGCATACACGACATTGAACAAATGCCATCACCTCCCTCTCTCGTCATCAGCATCTTCATCATCTTCTACTTTTACAAACAATTAATTACAAAAGAAATGAGTGAATGAATGAACAAGAGGAAGGAAGACGGCATACACGACATTGAACAAATGCCATCACCTCCCTCTCTCGTCATCAGCATCTTCATCATCTTCTACTTTTACAAACAATTAATTACAAAAGAAATGAGTGAATGAATGAACAAGAGGAAGGAAGACGGCATACACGACATTGAACAAATGCCATCACCTCCCTCTCTCGTCATCAGCATCTTCATCATCTTCTACTTTTACAAACAATTAATTACAAAAGAAATGAGTGAATGAATGAACAAGAGGAAGGAAGACGGCATACACGACATTGAACAAATGCCATCACCTCCCTCTCTCGTCATCAGCATCTTCATCATCTTCTACTTTTACAAACAATTAATTACAAAAGAAATGAGTGAATGAATGAACAAGAGGAAGGAAGACGGCATACACGACATTGAACAAATGCCATCACCTCCCTCTCTCGTCATCAGCATCTTCATCATCTTCTACTTTTACAAACAATTAATTACAAAAGAAATGAGTGAATGAATGAACAAGAGGAAGGAAGACGGCATACACGACATTGAACAAATGCCATCACCTCCCTCTCTCGTCATCAGCATCTTCATCATCTTCTACTTTTACAAACAATTAATTACAAAAGAAATGAGTGAATGAATGAACAAGAGGAAGGAAGACGGCATACACGACATTGAACAAATGCCATCACCTCCCTCTCTCGTCATCAGCATCTTCATCATCTTCTACTTTTACAAACAATTAATTACAAAAGAAATGAGTGAATGAATGAACAAGAGGAAGGAAGACGGCATACACGACATTGAACAAATGCCATCACCTCCCTCTCTCGTCATCAGCATCTTCATCATCTTCTACTTTTACAAACAATTAATTACAAAAGAAATGAGTGAATGAATGAACAAGAGGAAGGAAGACGGCATACACGACATTGAACAAATGCCATCACCTCCCTCTCTCGTCATCAGCATCTTCATCATCTTCTACTTTTACAAACAATTAATTACAAAAGAAATGAGTGAATGAATGAACAAGAGGAAGGAAGACGGCATACACGACATTGAACAAATGCCATCACCTCCCTCTCTCGTCATCAGCATCTTCATCATCTTCTACTTTTACAAACAATTAATTACAAAAGAAATGAGTGAATGAATGAACAAGAGGAAGGAAGACGGCATACACGACATTGAACAAATGCCATCACCTCCCTCTCTCGTCATCAGCATCTTCATCATCTTCTACTTTTACAAACAATTAATTACAAAAGAAATGAGTGAATGAATGAACAAGAGGAAGGAAGACGGCATACACGACATTGAACAAATGCCATCACCTCCCTCTCTCGTCATCAGCATCTTCATCATCTTCTACTTTTACAAACAATTAATTACAAAAGAAATGAGTGAATGAATGAACAAGAGGAAGGAAGACGGCATACACGACATTGAACAAATGCCATCACCTCCCTCTCTCGTCATCAGCATCTTCATCATCTTCTACTTTTACAAACAATTAATTACAAAAGAAATGAGTGAATGAATGAACAAGAGGAAGGAAGACGGCATACACGACATTGAACAAATGCCATCACCTCCCTCTCTCGTCATCAGCATCTTCATCATCTTCTACTTTTACAAACAATTAATTACAAAAGAAATGAGTGAATGAATGAACAAGAGGAAGGAAGACGGCATACACGACATTGAACAAATGCCATCACCTCCCTCTCTCGTCATCAGCATCTTCATCATCTTCTACTTTTACAAACAATTAATTACAAAAGAAATGAGTGAATGAATGAACAAGAGGAAGGAAGACGGCATACACGACATTGAACAAATGCCATCACCTCCCTCTCTCGTCATCAGCATCTTCATCATCTTCTACTTTTACAAACAATTAATTACAAAAGAAATGAGTGAATGAATGAACAAGAGGAAGGAAGACGGCATACACGACATTGAACAAATGCCATCACCTCCCTCTCTCGTCATCAGCATCTTCATCATCTTCTACTTTTACAAACAATTAATTACAAAAGAAATGAGTGAATGAATGAACAAGAGGAAGGAAGACGGCATACACGACATTGAACAAATGCCATCACCTCCCTCTCTCGTCATCAGCATCTTCATCATCTTCTACTTTTACAAACAATTAATTACAAAAGAAATGAGTGAATGAATGAACAAGAGGAAGGAAGACGGCATACACGACATTGAACAAATGCCATCACCTCCCTCTCTCGTCATCAGCATCTTCATCATCTTCTACTTTTACAAACAATTAATTACAAAAGAAATGAGTGAATGAATGAACAAGAGGAAGGAAGACGGCATACACGACATTGAACAAATGCCATCACCTCCCTCTCTCGTCATCAGCATCTTCATCATCTTCTACTTTTACAAACAATTAATTACAAAAGAAATGAGTGAATGAATGAACAAGAGGAAGGAAGACGGCATACACGACATTGAACAAATGCCA